CTTCCCAAGAGATTGAGGAGAGCAGCGGTCGGCTGAAGATCTTTCCTGCGAGTAGCGATCGGCTGGAGATCACACCCTTAGTTTCTGCGCGCAGCCGAGGGAAGCCGACACCAAACCGCAGAAAATTTTTCAAACATGTAAGTTGATTTCGCCATTTTTTTCTCCATTCGCCATTTCTCTTCATTTATCAATGATTCCATAGATTTGTGATCAGAAGAGCATATTTTTTAAAGTATTTTATTTGTTTTGGATTAAAATTACTCTTACAATAAATATTTGTTTATTTAATGCGCTTTTGCTGCGTATTCACTGCGCTTTTGCTACGATTTCGCTGCGCTTTCATTCTTACAATAAAAATTTTTTTCAAGTCGAATCCTGCTAGGGGGCAGCACCCCTTGGACCCCCGGTATAGCTGCAAATTTTTAATTATTTTTTAATATGATAGTCATAACGCATGATGCAATAGTAAAAGATAAAAGTAAAATGCCACCCAATTTAATTATTTTACAATATGCCACCCAATTTATTAAGCCTTTATTTTTTTTACTTCACCAATGAATTTAAAAAGATAAAAGTAAAATGAGCTCTAGTGCTGATGGGAGTGGTACAAAAAAGCCATATGTAGAAACTGATAAGTCATTATGAATTCATGTTACAAAGTTAGGAAAAGCTTTTGAAGAATGAGGGAATGTGTCATTCAAATGTAATTATTGTGGTGTCATCTACAAAGGATCTTATTCTAGAATGAAAGCACATCTACTTAAGATTTCTGGTCATGTAATTAAAATGTGTCCTAAGATTACTACATCACAGTTGATTGAATTGAACAGACAAATTGACGAAGCTGAATCTAGGATCAAAAGGCCACTTCCTAAAGAGATACATTTGTCATCTACCCATGGTTCATTCCACACTTCTTCTTCATCTGTTGGAGTTGATCATTCATTATCATATAGAAGTGAAGGATATGATTCAAAGAAAAGAAAAGGAGTTGCCAGTAGTGCTTTAGAGAAGTCTTTTAACATGCAGCAGCGAGACGAATTGGATGGTGAAATTGCATGGATGTTTTTTTCACCTGGACTTTCTTTCAACCTTGCAAGAAATTATCATAACAAAAATGCATTCACTTTTGCATGATAACAACCTTTGCAGGTTATGTTCCACCTGGCTACAATGCATTAAGATCAAAATTATTTGAAAGGAAAAGAGCACATATTGAAACATTGTTTAAACCAACAAAAGGTGTGTGGAAAGAAAAAGGAGTCACTTTGATGTGTGATGATTGGACTGATCCTCAAAGAAGACCACTCATTAATTTCATGGCCGTTACAGAGAATTGTCCAATGTTTATTAAAGCTGTGAATTGTGAAGGAGAATACAATGATAAATATTTCATTGTCAATTTGATTAAAGAGGTGATAGTCATTATTGGGTCATCAAATGTTATGCAGGTATAACAAATAATGCACCAGTGTGTAGAGCTGTAGGATTGTTTGTGGAGCAAACTTATCCTCATATATTATGGACTCCATGTGTTGTGCACATTTTAAATCTTGCTCTAAAAAATATTTGTGTAGCAAAGAATACAGAGGCAAATGAAATCATGTATATTTAATGTCATTGAATAACAGTGGTTGCAAATGATATTTTTTTTATCAGGAATTTCATTATGAACCACTCAATCAGACTTTCAATATTTAATGATTTCTCATATTTGAGAATGTTAGCTATTGCTGAAACTCGTTTTGATTCTGTAATAATCATATTGAGAATATTCAAATAAATAAAAAATACTCTTCAATCTATGGTGATTAGTGAGAAGTGATTTTGCTATCGAGAAGATGATGTTGGGAAGGCAAGGTATGTGAAAGAAAATGTCTTAAGATGATTTGTGGTGGGATGATGTAGATTATATTTAGGCTTTCACTGATCTGATTTATGACATGTTGAGAGAGGCTGGCACAGATAAATTATACCTACATTTGATTTATGAGATGTGTGACTCTATGTTAACAAAAGTAAAATAAATTATATACATACGTGAAAGAAAGTCACTTAATGAACACTCAAGTTTTTGGAGCATTGTCTATATCATTCTTGAGAATAGATAGACCAAAAGCAACACATCTGCATTGTTTGACTCATTCATTAAATCCAAGGTATATTTGTATTCATCTTTTGAATTAATTTTAAATTATAAATAATTTTATATGTTTTGTATTATTTGAATGTATTCAAGTAAATAATGACTTCAAGAAGACCCTTAACGTGTCTCACCACAAAAAGATTTAGAAGTGTCAAATATGATAATATATGCTTGAAACGATATTTTCCAAATGAGAAGGAGAGAAGAAAGATTAATATAGAACTTGTAAAGTTTTTTAAATATTTAGAGGATTTTGGTGATCAAGAATCTTTGATTGACAGATGGAGGATGAATCCAAAAATGTGGTTGTTGATTCAAGGAGCTTCAGCACCGCTTCTTCAAACAATAGCAATAAAACTTCTTGGTCAAGTATCATCTTCTTCTTGTTGTGAGAGAAATTGGAGCACATACTCATTTATTCAATCGATGAAGAGGAATAAAATAACTCCACAATGAGCTGAAGATTTAGTTTATGTGCATACAAATCGTTGCCTTCTATCAAGGAAGACCCCACTTTATATGACAGGTGATAACAAGACGTGGGATGTTGCTAGAAATGGGTTCGAGTGCCATGATGATATGGATTATTGGATGTTGCAAATCTTTCTCTAGATGAACCAGAGTTGGAAGAAATGATATTTAATGATTATGATATTGAAGGCCAAAGACCAACCTTTGAATCTAATTTTATCATTCCATGATTCCATCTATTGAGTAGTTGAACCTTCATGTTGTACTAAATGGTATTTTATATATATATTTTTGTAGTTGTACTAGACATTTTGTATTAAATATTTTTATGTTATAAGCTAAACAATTTATCATGACATTGATTTATTATTGCTTGCCATTTATAATATGATGTCACCTTAACTTTTATATATTATATTAAAAAAAATTTACGCCGCACCCGTGTCCTATATTTTTAAAAAATATCGTGTCCCGTATCTGTGTTGTGTCGTGTGCCCGTGTCGGTGTCAGTGCTTCATAGATTTCTAGGTTAGATTGAAGAATTTTCAACATATTACTCATTTTTTGTTCTTGTTGTATGTATTTATCACAAAGAAATAGAAATTCTCCCTCGAAGAATCTTCCAAACACTGATAATTTATTTCTTTAAATCTACACATTTAAGATCATTTCTCTTCAAATTTCTAAATTCTTTGAGTTCCTAACTTCTTTAATTTTTTTTTAGGATTTTTAGCAGTTAAGCTTTTAGATTTTTTTAGGGGTTATGGTCTAATGATTTTAAGGGCTTTAAAAAATATTACTTAATGAAAACATAAGAGGCTGAATATGATATTTGCATGAACGACTTAAGTGTGTGGTTTCCTTCATGGATCCATGTGGCTCATTTATGTCTCTCAATTGATTTGGGGATAGCAAGCCTTGTGTGGTGTCATCTAATGATTTTGTCAAGTATTTTGCTTATAGCTCATCATTTTAGAACAACCATGATGACAATCAGTTAATTTTATTAAGAATACTTGAAGGAAATGCTTTAAGATTCAAGAAATGCAAACTCGAGTGAAAAAAACAAGAGCTCCAAGGTCTCCGTATAAATTAGAGTAGAAAGCATTTGAATCAGTTTGATCTTACCAATAGCTTCAAATATGATGACCGCATATCAGGGCAAGGAATAAAGCAATCAAATTTCTTCCTTCAATCCAGTCCCTAACATCCAGTACTTGTTACTCTTCCTATATTGTTTTCCTGTCACAAGCATTCTCTAGGACCAACCAATAGCCTCTGAGACCACCCCAAAAAAGCCACTATCTACCTCCTTGATGCATCCAATGGAAGCATTTACTCATACAAGGGGCAGTGAGAACTGCATGACTGGTTTCTCTCCCAGTAGCAAGCATAGTACTTGGAAAAATAATCAAGTTACACCATCAGAACACAAAAATCTCTCACCTAGTAAAGCATGAAACTCTTGAGATTGCGTTCATCAATATAGCTCACTAATTCTCCATTCCATCAATGTCATACTATAACAAAAAGGTATCAGATGCACGGATATGCAGCCATCTTTATTAGAAGGCACAATTCATCTTTTGTGTGTCAATGCCAAGTCAAAATTATCAAAGTCATGACCTCCGAGCACCTCAATAGTAGCCTATTTGCGACAACTAACTGGGATGAAAACCCATTTGAATGATAGATTTTACTTTCGTAAAACTATCCATCGTATATTCCCAATGCTTAGGCATTGCCAAATATTTACAGGGAAACTCCTATCTCACGAATACGCATTTTTAAGCCATTAACTGTCAGTAGGTAAGCTACCAAAGATTTCCAAATTACCAATTACTACATGTGAAGCCCACCACAGATCATGATGTCCTTTGCAACAATTAGGACATGATGTCTTTTGCAATGATTAGCATATCAGAAAAAGTATAGTGTGGTATATCAAGATCATTTCTATATGCATGCTAAAGGCTGCATAATAAAAAAAATAAAAAAGGCTGCATAATAATTTTAGTTTAGCTAAATCTTTCTAAATGACTTGAACAAAACAAAAACAATCCACCTCACCTACCTCTTAATCCTCCAGTGGAAAACAATGCTTCCTTAGTTCCCTTGTACAAGCTCAGAATCATTTCTACTTTTAACAACTCACATATCACCAGGTATAACATCCAAATTTCTGTATTAAACTCAATTAAAATATATTCTCCAAGTTGTTTAGCATCTACTTTATTATTCATGTATACACTCTATTATGTTCCATGTGCAATCATTTACAATAGATAAGTTTTGAAACTGTCCATGCATTAATTTTGAAAAGAAAACCGAGAATTGTATAGAGTTCAATAACATCTCAAATTCAAAAGAAACAAATAATTACCTTATACGACATCTCCGTCAATTTTCCCTTAAACTTTGTTGCCAGGAGTTCCTCACTAATTGACAAGGTACCTTCAACAACACTTTCTGTCTCAAACTTTAAAAGCACACACAAAAAAAAAGGAAAAAAAAGAATCGTGTTAATAGATTTTAATGGAAAAAATGAGCTAACGTCTATAACTTTCTGAAGTTTGATGATTTATACAACTGGGAAGAAAATCAAAGTTTTACCTGTATGACAACATGCGGATACATAGTTTGCCCTTTACGGATTGGTGGGTCAAGGGTAACCACAACAAAGGTATGAGGCTGATTGGACTGCATAAGGCACACCAAAATAGCAGTGATTCATAACTAATCATATGGAAACAGTGTTATTTTATAATGCATTAAAATGCTTTTAAACGGAGAGATATTTGAACAAAAAATTTACTGGGTGGCATGCATCAACTAACTAATTCATTCATAGGCAGGTTTGAGAACCTTAGGCAACCGAAAAAGTCTAACTACACTGCTGTACTGAATTTTGAAATCATTGGCCTGCCCTTGGAGCCTCAAGAATGAAAGATGAAGTTCGATGCTATACCGCCCTCTGCAAGAAATATTTAGAAATTTTCACATATGGGAAGGATTATTGTATAGAAGAGATAATGAAGAAATACAAACGATTACTAGTAAAATACAATATTAAAAAAACATATTTTATATACCTTGGCGTTAGGACTGCAATACCATCAAATGTGACAACTGCATCTCCACTTGATGATCCAACATCTGCCCTAGCTAATATTTTGTCCAAGAAAACCTTCAAAACCAAAACCAATAAATCAACACAGGTTATTCATTATTTACATAATTAACAAGTTTTTATTCGATGAGTTTAGAATTTAAATACCTGAGCTGGAGGATGGTTCTCATCTCCAACAAACTGAGTATTTGAATTGGGTATGTGAAAACATAGATCCATCAACGAGTCTTTCTGTAAAGAAAAAAGTATTAGTTAAAGGATACATGCAATATTTCTCAACAGCATATCTTTAAAATATTATCAGAATGTCAACTGAGAGAAATCGTAGAAAATACTGTAAAAACTGCTATGAAAGTAAAAATAGCTAGTGGGAGACCATAACAAATAGAAGCTTCACTTTGTGGAGAAAATATCATATAGATGCAATGACGGAGGTAAACAAAAAAGGTGAAGTTATTTGAGAATGAAAAACAAACAAGAAGGATGAATGCAGTATTTCTCGACTGCATGTAATCAAAACGTTATCAAAATGTCGACTGTTAGAGAAATCATGAAACATAATATAAAACTATGGTGAAAAAATAGCTAAGGGAGAATGTAACATATAGAAAGAAGCTTCATGTTGTGGAAAAAATATTAGGAAATCAAGAACAATTTATAGATTTAAGTAATTTGTGTCCGTAACTCATTCAACATTCGTTGGTTGGATGCATCAAGGGTATAAAATAAGAAGTTTGCAAGGTCTTACACTTTATAGGGCATGATATTGAAGTAAAATGGGTGTGAAATAAAACTTGGAAACATTTGAAATATCCCAGAAGAGGACCCACCCCAAAATGCAACCTCAGCTCATCCATCCACTCTCACTAATGACAATCCCAGTGTCGGTTTATAATCAACAAGATTGTATCCGTATCGGATTATGCCATCTTAGTCATAGCAGACCATATCAGAGGATGGGGGATCAGAGGCAGATAGGATGCTAAGGAGCAGTGATTGTGAGAGCTCTGCTGATGCTAATGAAAACTCAAATCTTGTATATGTTGGAGTCAAAGAGCTTCATATAATCAATGAAGGTGCAGACTTTGAAAAGCACAGTTACTTGCATAAGCGGCAGTTTACGCCGATGTAGCATACCAAGGTTGGTTCATCGTGGCATCTTTTTTCCATGCCGCACCTCATTTTGGTTGGAATAATTAAATCTCTCTTTTTTCCTTTGAAATATCATATTCTAGATAAATTCAACCAAACAAAATAAATCATTTCACATAATCTATATTGCATCCAACCAAACACTTCCAAGTAAGATATAATTTTATGTACATTTTCAAATTGCATTATAGATTTACATGTTCTAAATATATTACCAAACAAACCTAACTTGTTTAAGTTTCATTTCACTATTTCATCGTTTTCATTTTCATGTAGAACAAACAAAAAATTGAACCACATGACAAACAAAAAAAGCAGGTTGAAAGATATCCCTTCTAGTTATGCCATATCATATCTGCATATAAGCGACATGTATGTGCATATGAGCTATATATATATATATATATATATATATATATATATATATATATACATATATAGCATCTCACAAGAATAATGAATAATCAACTCTATTGGGTTCACCAGGTCAGCTTAGCTTATTCAATATGCCAGAGAAGCCTAAAACCTGATACTCAACACCAATAATTTATGTTTACACCGCATATCCCAAGAACTTCTTTAAATTTTCAAAGGAACTTTAGGCTCTCGTCACTAGTTAGCTAGGTCAATGCCCCTAAATAGCTCATTGCCCATCTTTTCATAATTGTATTCCTTCAAATAACTGCAGCTCATCATCACCAAATGGCTTAGGCACATTAATTATATTCTACCGCCCAATAAACAATTACTAGTATAGCTCAACAAATCAATTAAGTACAATCATTGAATGATTCCATACTTTAAAAAAAATGCCTTTATCTTATTAGACATGTGTAATATCATCATGCCACATTACACTACCAATGTCACAAGAATGGCTAATACCCACAATTCCCGTGTTCTACAGACAAACTATGTAGATCTCCACTAACTTTTTTAACTCTATAAAATCCATGTCATTGGCATCTGATAGCAAATCATTTCTTGACATTATTCAACAATTATTCAAGCTACCTCTTATAACTAATGGGATAGAAGGAAGTAGCCATTATAAGGCACTTGGATACTTCCAAGGACATGATGTTTATTGAGAATTGAACTTTAAAAAGTTATTTAAAGAATATCTCTTTTTTGCCAATTCTTGTCCCCTTCACAAGCGAAGTAGGCCTCTTGGCAGTCAAAGGCTCCATAATGAAAACCACCTGTACATTGAGTAGTGGATGTACACTACAAAAGCAAACCACTTAAATTTCCCTTGTTCATATAATATTGTCTTCACTTTCTCATATCCCTCTCTCCGCCAAACTCCCCCAAAATAAAGTCAATCGACTCAACAACTCCATATTTCACTCATTGGATGTCATCTTGTCTACGAGTTGCCCATCAATACCGCAATGAGATTCTACAGTTTATAATAATGTGAGAAGAGTGTTAGCAATAACAAAGCAAAGGGAAAAAACAATTTGGGTTGGAAGAACTTTGAAATCAACAAAAGTGTGACGTTGGTAGTATGAGTGTTAGCGGTGGCATATAAGCAATCCTATAATTGGGTCAAGGATGAGATGAACTTCATGGTAAACATTGAATGGTCAGAGGTGCAAAGTGGTGGTCAGAATTTGGAAGGGAGGTGGGGTTGAGCGAGGATGAAATGGGTTTCATAATAAAGATTGAATGAAACATGGATAAGCAATGTGGTAGTGAACATTTGGAATGGTGGGAGCGACAATTGAAGAAAAGGGGACTGCTACGATGATAGCAAAATGCGAATGAAAAAGATAGTAGTCAGTTGTGGTGTAAAGGTTGGCATAGACTACCCTAAGGGAAAGATAATAAATAGCTGGGGAGAAAGAACACTATGGAGTGGACTACAACTACAATAAGTTTAGAGATAGATATTTACATGAATTAGGATTTTTGTTTTCTTATATGAACAATTGAATCAAATACAATTATCCAACTTGTAAGATATTTTGCCCTTGGAATATATAAGACAATCAAGGTTGAATCAGAAAAGACATATCCTAATCCAAGCACATACTTAACATGGCTCAATCATAGCCATCAAACTTGACTAAGATAACAGGAAGCAATTTCCACAACCGCTAAAGGTAGCAAGACCTGGGTTTTTTTTCAGGTTTTTCTTCCCGATAATGCAAAATTTTCTCCTCTACCGATCTATTCCTTCATCGAATTGAATAAGATAACAGGAAGAAATCTCCACACAGCGAAAGGTAAGCCATACCTAGGGTTTTTTCAGATTTTTTTCCTCCCAAGAATGCAAAATTGTCCCTTCTGTGGATCTAACCCTCTCTTACAACCAACAATCTTTTCATACATAATATTAGGTTCATCTCCTTCATTCGATGCAAACTCTGTCTAGCTTTTTAAGAAGTTATTTTCCACTCCTCATGAGCATCATGTAAGAGGTCAAAGTAAACAAGAAGGCAAGGCACCCCCCACATCTTATTCATATCTTGCACAACCAACATGACATGAATCACCCAACCTAAAGGATTTTCATAATTAATTCTATAAATATATTTAATAATTACTCATATAATTGGATTGGTAATCAATTTAAATGAAAGAAAAATTTTGGACCTAGAGAAGAGTGGAAGTGTAATCCATTTTGCTTCATGACCTACAAATGAATCACCAATAAATTACATAGGTCGCCTTCTATACAAATTTAAAGCTAAGTATAGCAAAAACTTAAAAGCAAGCTAGACAAAGGAAAAGCACTACTAGGTTTAGGGTAATACGGGTAATCCCTCTATGCCCATGAATTTCATTTCTATAGGATAGAAAAAGAAAAGCCTTGGCTCAAATCATTGTAAGCTTTCAACTATTATTATTCAGATTGTTAACTAGTTTTGATAAGCATATGATGTTGTCAGAAAAGGGAGAAATTATTTTTGTTAGTAATGATGAAAGTAAATAATGACTCTATGGTATAATAGCATGCACATAAACAAGGAATTTAACAGCGCAAAAAAGCATGATCAGTAAACAAAAATGGGCATGATAGTAAACATCATTGGCTGCGTGAATGTTGCCTGTCAAATATTTTGATAAGTTACCTCATTTGCACCAGTTGTGTCATCCACATGGAATTCCAAGTAAACATCATTTTTCCCTTGCAGATGTGATTGAGCAACGTCAGCAAGAGAAATTTCAAATGCTTGCTTAGAACCAACTAGAAATGTAAGCATGTTTCCTGCAACAATTTACAGCAATTAAAGGTCAACATGCATGTACATTTGAAGAGCATAAACAAACCCCAATCATAGCCTGGAAAAGTAAAAGAGAAACAGGAACGTACAAAAAATAACATCCATCAACATTCCATGACTACGCAGAGAATAAACAGAACGCTCAAGACACAAAGCTAATTGAAGAACCATTAGTAAAAGAGACTTCAAAAAAAATATTTGCCGGGTAAAGACATGACTACATAACAATGACAAGAAGAAGTGTATAAAGATAATAGAACTTTTTTTAAAGAAAAACTGCGCTGGCAGAGAAATAGCCTCAGAACATAAATATTCCAAATGCATGTAAATTTACAGAATAGGATTTCAAAAGAAGAAAAAAATTATAACATGTACATCACCGCATCACTGTTGTCTAAAAAAGGTCATCAATATGATATAAACTCAACAACTTTGCAAAAAATTAAAGACGATCAACATATTACTATTTTATGTACGATGTAACTGAAAAGGGGCTCATGCTTAAAAACTTGTTCGAATATTTTTATTCCGTTCAACACAATCCAGATGTAGAAAATTTCAGAATCCATTAACCATCCAAAAACAGTAAAACCAAAGCAATAAGAATATGCAAATGGTACAAATAAATGTTTTGAACAAAAAAATAGTTGCATTTTTTGAAATGAACAATGAGATCTGCAGGCATGTTGGTGTAAAAAATATGAATGGTGGAGAGAAAAGGTCAAAGGTCAAGATGGTGCCTCGGAGAAGGTCCTGTAACAAGAACCTCCTAACCCAAAGATATGATGCTTCTGCTGAAAGGGAAAAGTTCAGATTATAAACTATGTTTGTAAATAAACAGAGATATATCAACATAAAACATAACATGGCATGTTGATTGCAATATTTTCTTTTTATTACTTCCACGTTCACAATAAGTCATCATACCATTTATTTCAACATCTCCCCAATTTCGACCACTGACTGAAAGCTGCTTCTCTTCAGGCTTTACTCCGATATTTTTCTCTATGAAGCTGGTCAAATTACTAACATCCTGTGGAACCAAAACAAAATAAATATAAATAATGCAAATGATGTTAAATGGGCAAATAATAATCATAACATTTAAGAGCAAGAAAATTATATACTCATGCACTGTGAATAAATGAGTAGAAACAAATGGATGCATAACTCCCTGCATGTCATACTGCAAGCACAACTTGTTTAGCTACGTGATTAAAGATAGTGAATTAGTAATTTCAACACATCAAACAACAATATTAACTGAAGAGGACCAAAACATTAGTGAGTTCTACAGATGTGAGAGATCACCTTTACTTTAACAAGAACCATGTGCCCTAAATGCAAGGTTTCATTAATGATCGACAACAAAGTGATGATCATGCAGTTCTATGCCATCTTAAATAGCTTCTTAAGATCAAATGGTAAAAAAGATTGCAAAAGCAACAAAATATGCCCAAAATAATTGCACATCCCATTTTTTGATATGCATCACAGATCATTAGAGTTTAGTGTAATGACAGACCAACAGAACAGATACAAGTTAAAAAACAATATTCAGTCATCAACTTATAACTCTCCACATGCATGAGAAGAAAGATAACAGTTGCAGCATGAGCAAAAGTGTTGTAATGGGTAAGAATTCTAAGGAAATTAAATAAAAAGTGCAAACAAGAACATACTATGTAGTATTTTTATAAGAAATATCAAAAGGGAGCTCAAGGAAATTTCAAATTCCAATGTGTTGTTTTGCAATGGAAGATTAACATAAATCCATGGCTTCAATATGTGCATAACTCTAAGATTTTTTTTTTTAAATGCATCATGAATACTCAAAGATTAAAAACATGACAAAAATTTTCAAGGGTTACATACACATCCAGATGCTAAAGAATACAACCAATATAAAATTTTCATAGATTACATACCTAAATTATTCAAGTACTGGGATGAAAATAGATTTTTTTTCCTCAAAACAGTGAGCAATAGGATTAAGGCATGCCAATCTTCTCAAGATTGTGGTACTTGTGGGAAAGTAATTAGAATAGCAGAATGCAACAACAATGATTTGGCAAAAAGGAAGGGTCGCAGAGGAGGCAAGTAATAAGAAATCAAAAGGAAATAGCAAGTACCAACAAGCAGTGTAATAAGTACCCGCAGCAAATCAATAAGGTAGACAAAGTGGTTAAACACATCAACAACATCGCATTGAGGAAATAACAACATGTAGAAATTAGCAATTCAAATTGTGACTGAATCTAAATCCCATATTTATCAAAATAAATTCAAATGGTTGAGTTAAAATCATGCAATAATGCATTAAACTTAACACGCTAATCAAAATACTTGAAAGCACAACTCATTTGCATAAGAGCCAAAATCATATGCATGTCTTACATAGAACAAACTAAAGGAAAGCGAATGCATTGATAAAACTTATATAATTCTTCATTTTCTATGCTTTTGATATGAGTATATTTTCACATTCCAGCAAGCTTACCCCTAATTATATTGCCAGATACTCCGGATTTTGCATGAAACCATGCTTGCAAGCAAGAATCAAACCAACGGAAATCAGGTTCAGATTAAAGCCGGCAGATCACACTCTTTATCAGAACTACCATCACAAGCAACCTATGTTTTCAATTCAATAAATAACATGGAAATAATCAATAAAGCTTACATGTGGATTTATTACCCAAAAGGTAAATACGGCAAATAGCTCAACTTTTACCAAACAAAATTACCGCCTAATCTCCAACCAATCTCAATCCAGAAGACTATTAAGGCTTGTAAAAACAGGAAAGACGCGGAAATACGCACCTGTTCACGAAACCCGGTGAACTTGTAAGACAATCCATCTTTAACCCGGACTCCAAACTGGTAAGCCCTGGGAACCTTCATCCAGCTCACACCAGTAATATCAGCCTTGTCCACCTCGACCACCTTCCCACCACCCGCCTTTCTCCATGCGACTCCACCAGAATGGACCCTAAGCTGCCCAGGGTTCTGCAAATAACGGCAAATTCATGAAATAAATTTGAGTGGTGCTAATAGAAAAAAATTGGATGATACTTCTCCAGTTTCAAAATTTACAAAGAACCAAATACCAAAAATCTACTCGAAAAATCAGATCAAAAGCAAACGGCAGAAGGGAGTCCAAACTCATAACTGGGAAACACAAACGAAACGCACAAAATCGATTAACGCGAGAAGAAACAGACACTTTAAGAAGAACTTCACCATCTCTATTCTTTAAAAAGGTTGTGATTAATGGGGAAGAAAACCCTAATTCGAGTTGGGGGGGTGAGGAGGGAAGGGTGAGAATTACGGATCCTCCGCGGCCTCCGAGAAGGATATTGTTGAAGAGATGTCCGTCGCTCATCGCTCAAGACCTCTTTTCTACGCACTGATGTAGCTTCTTCTCGTTCTGGTTCTGGTTCTAGGTCTCGAGCTGCCGCAATGTCTCGCTCTCTCGTTCGCGCACTGGGCAACAGTGGAAACAGGGCTTCTTTACAGGACAATTTATAGATCGGTGATATTCAAAATCTCCCGTTGTTGCTTCCGATCAAAATCTCGTAACTTCCGACCCGACAGGAACGGAAAATCGTCGAAGGAGCGAAGTCGAACAGCCACGAAGGAGCCGAAGTAGCGACGCGCGCAAATTCTACACCTCCTGCAAAGCAACAAAAGCCGAACAGCAACGACGAAAAGAAAAGATGAAAGGCCAACCCTAGACGCCTCAAAGTTATTATTGCTTACTTAATTAATATAAATTAAACAATTAATAAATAAATTAATTAATTAATAGTATAATCAATGCATAAATTAATAATCTAATTTAACTTAATTGACTAATTAATGATATAATTAGTAATTAAATATTAATATAATTATCTTCTTTAATACTTCATCTGTCACTTTGGTAAATGTTAATTTGTAATTTGCTTTTTATTGAATTTTTTGATCCTTTTATATGAGCTAAAATTGGTTTTATTATGTTTTATATAATTATCTTGATTTCATAAATATCTCTTTTAAATTTAAATCCCTAATCGTCATAAATCTTGATATATGTTATCAAACAGTTTTCTCAGTATTTAACATGATTTAACATTTGACATACCAAACAATTTTCAGGATTTAGCACATTTCGAATTTATTAAATTTGGATTTACATGATTTATTAAATCCCACTAAAGTTAAATCCCACTTGTTGTCAAACAGCCATTTAGCGTTTGTTTGGTTTCTTTTTTCAAACGATTTTGAGAATAGTTCAGTTGAATGTTGTTTCAACCAAAGACCAAATAGTTCGGTTGAATGTTGTTTCAACCAAAGACGTTAATGTGCTTGGGTTATAAGGAGAATTGTCATATTAAATTTTTAATTTTTATAATAATTTTTAGGGGTGTCAAAACCAGGTTTCGGGTCCGGTTCGGGTCAAACCCGAACTGACCCGGGGTTCAAACGGGTCAACCCTAACCCGACTCGGATATGTAAATGGGTCAAAAAGTCTAACTTGGACCCGACCCGTCGGGTTGCCGGGTTGACCCGACCAGACCCGGATTTGGGTTCTACCGGTGCCGGAAAGTCTGAACGGCGATGGGCGGATGACGGGCGAGGGGGGGGGGGAACGCGACACGTGAGGGCTTGCGCAGGCTGCGGGCTCGCGGGGCAGCAGCGCGGGCAGCGGGAAGTGAGCTTGAATCCAAATTTTTAAAATTAAACGGGTTTTCGGGTTGACCCGGGTCAACCTAAACCCGACCTGTTTTTTCAAATCGGTCGAATACGAGAACCCGAACCCGATCCGTTTTGAAATCGGGTCGGATTTTCGTGTCGTGTCAAATATTGACACCCCTAATAATTTTATAATCATTTTTATATAAAAAAATTAAATGCTCGGATTTATATATAATATTTAAAAATATATGATTAATCTCAAATTATCTGTTTATGCAAATTATCACTTTATTAACTCCGTTATTGTAATGAAATATTTGTCAGTTTTTGACTCAACAACACCCTTGATGAAGCAAAAGGACTAAAAGAAGAGCATCACCGGCATTGGTGATGAGTGAATGTCAAGCAACCACAACGATGAAGAAGAGAAGCCCATGGCAAGATCTCATTGGTGAAGGGCAAATTATTACGTCCGGTGTCCGGATTCGTCAGGACACCAATTCAGACGTGCCACGTCATCCAAATACACCGGATCCCAGTGTATTTTGATGACGTGATACATCTGGATTGAAAGTCCAGACATCCGGTGACCAGACGTAATAATTCGCCTTGGTGAAGGGCATCGATGAGACCATTGGCATCTGAATGTTGAGGCAAAAGAAGAGGTGAAAAAGTCATGATATAATCCGAATGAGGAGGAACATCGATGAGACTAATGATGTGTGCCTCAACATAACAACATAATAATATTCCTATATATTTCACCATTAGATTCAAGATATCTAAAATATGCACTCTTTTTAATGATTTGATAACCCAATATCACAATCCCGCCACTATTTTATGACTACTAAAATTATACTTTACATATTTAATTTTAGATCTATTCAAACAAAAATTTTTAAACTTTAAAGTTGATCTCCATAATTCAAATTTTTCTTCAACTCTCTCTAATTTTATCAACAAGAAAAATATCACCAATGAAAAACATACTCCAACATACATCCTCTTACAAATGTCAAGAAAGAATATCAATTACTAAAGCTAAAAAGACACAAGCTTAAAGCTAATTGTTAATGTAATCCAACTGAAATAAAAAAATATTTGATCAAATCACCTTGTCATTAAACACAAGTAAATACTTATGCATACATATACTTAATGACATGAATATAAATATTATTAACTCTCTTTTTTTTTTCTAAAACTCTCTCAAACACTTCTCTTATATTTTGGTCATTATTCTCACATAATATTCCTTCCATACATACATGAATATAGAGAGAGAGAGAGGTGGGGGGCAAGTCAGTAATAAGATTAACATGGACTGTAATTTGATTTTTTTTTTTTATTAAACAGTAAATACTGAATAAGATTTACTGTTTCCATTCCAAAACAGAATACAAATGTGTCAAAAGAAGAATCACCACCACCTCAGCGAGTTAGAACATTGGTGGGTGAAAAAAAAAAACTTAAATCATAAATTATCTCTTTGAAACCTACAAAGAAGCCTCAGAAAGAACTCCTGTAATTTTCCTGTGCTCCAAACACTCAGCTTTGTGTGTTGCAAGACGATCTGTGATTTGCACACGAAATAATTGAGAGCACAAAAGAAAATTTGGTACAGCTCAGAAAAGAAAAGTTCAGGAAATGGTGCACATACCCTAACTGCTACTCTAGAATCCAATGGCACATTGGAAATGGTCGCCATTAGCTTAGTCTCCTTAGAGGCAATACAGTTGCCGTATATTTCCTGAAGCTGCAAAACAATGGTAAAAAGTGTAGATTTTAGTTAGAGAATCATTATATAAGACAATAGTTCTTGTGCGATGCTGGTGGAAAACTCATGACCCATGTAGGTGTGAACCACTGTCATTGGCCAAGTGGGTTCCATACAAAGTATATGGGCCAATGGCAACGCATCACATAAGCCCGTGCAAATGCAAGGTGCATTGTGTAAAATGAAATAAAGTTATCTTACTGAGGCTACGTTTGGGACATTTTTTTTATAGTTTTTTAAAATAATTTTTTAGCACAAAAATTTTAGTTCAAAACAATTTTTGTACTAAAATATTGTTTTAAAAAGAAATAAGAAAAGCTTCCCAAACAAAGCCTAAGATTCCACCATCCCTCTAAGATTACAAGTAGTATTTCTTATTGTCGAATAAATGTTTGATTTTTATGCTGATTCTAAGCCAAAAGTTGTCAATGGAAACCAGTTCAAAGCGGTAAGTTCACTTCTCTTGTACTGTAAAACAAAAGAGTAATTGGTATCCAGCACTAGAATAAAAAAAAATCACCACTTCACTGATCTATCACACACATGCGTATTAGTTAATAGTATTTTAAAAAAAAATTGTGAAGCCTTAAGGTCACATGCGAATTAGTAGTGTTGGGAGATGAGGAGTAAAAGCAACGGGAAGTAAAGGACATCAGTATTTAATGTGAAAAATCTCAAAATGGAAAAAAAAAATCACGAATCCACACCACACCAAGAAATCCACTATAAAAATTGAGAAAAATAAGTACAAATTTCTCTTCTCTCTCACTCTCTCCTTGCTTCACTTCTCACATGCACCGTTCTCACTCTTGCTCGAACTGAAAATACATAAGAAAGTCAAATAAAATAACTCCAAGGGATGCAACCTTTTATAAAACGAGAAAACAAACTGCCCAGTCTGTCTCGCAGCGCTGCGGTGCTATGCTATCTGTCGTTTAGTATCGAGGCGCTCGGGAACACAGCATTGGGGTGTTGTACATCAAATTTTTTTTTGCCTATTTCCCAATAATTTCATCGAAGTAAAAGATGCATTAAATTTTCCTCATGCACCGCTAAACAAATGGAGAACAGGGTTTCATTAAAGCCGACCTCAAACAATTGAGATGAACGTACTGACAGCAATAAGTATGAAAAAATATATATCTGAAATGCAGATACAAACATAAAGTTCTGTCTCGTGCTGAAGTTTTAAAATAATCTCAAGCTATGCAATAATACAACCCATTAGTTGGCAAAAGAAAACTGTTTAGCTGTAGATGGAAGCATGATTAAGCTATGTTTAGGTTGAATAACGCAAATAAAGGAAAAGGACTAAGAATATAAACTTTACCATATAGCCAGTCTTTAAACTGCGTATGAAGGGCAGAAGCAATATCACGCTTCTTGATCTCATCAAGCTGCGCGCCTCTTATAGTTTCCTGGATCTCATTCAGAACCTTGTGCTGCCAGACAAATTTTCAATGCATAAGGTCTTCCACAAAAAAAAAAGATCCATTATTTATAAAAATTGAAGGGATGAAATCCAGAACACTTAAAAGATGAGCAAAAAATTTTATCAATGAAGGGAAACAGATTTTCTCGTGAAATAAGAAATAAAAAGCAAGGTCAAAGAGCAGAGCAGACAAGCATTAGAGATTATTGAGTATCAGAAGCATACAGTTTTCTTTTGAGCCGCAACATAAGCCTCAGGCAATGGGAATGGGTTACATTCTGTACTTTCTACCAAAGTAGCTCCAAACCACTTGGGAATCTGCGTACAAGGAGAATGAAGGAAAGACTCAGGTGAATTCACAGCATAGTAGATAATATTTTAGGATTGAAAACATGGGTTGGGGTTGGACAAATGATAATCCATGTATATTGGTACGAAATAATAAAAAAGTCATTTTTTGTGGTAACTTTAGAAGTTGGAACTTTAAATATGTAATCTCTGTATCTACCTCCATTGATGTGAATTTAATTTACTTTTAATTTATCAGAGATTTGTTTTATTTATAGCTTTCTTTTTTGATAAGCAAGATTCCCTCTTTGTAAAGAGAGGTACCAATTCAAAAATAGTTCGCTATTCCATATTTAGAGTGCAAAAGATTTGAAGTAACTCCACAAACAGTGAGTTTTGTTTAGCTACTTTTTTTTTACCAATTTTGCTTTGTATTTCTTCAGACCAAAAATAATTGGGATAAGGCTAAATGGCTAATGATGATGATGGCTTTGAATCTCTTTATTCATACACTTCCTCTTTTTCCTTGAGTGTATATGCATGGACGACGGTAATGCAAGAAATCCTACATTACTGTCATTGCAAGTTATAGAGCCTGAGCAAACTCGCCTGGGGACTGAAATACTATTCCAACAAATATTTGAATGAAATGGTCAAGGTTTTTTTTTTGTTACAATTGCTTTTAAGCTTTGGCAACATATGATGGCAATATTGCTGAAAAACATGGTATAATGGACCCTATCACTAGTAGCAACAAGAGACAGCCAGATAGATAAGGAAATGTCATTAATATTCTGAGGAAAACTAAATGGCAAATTATATAGGCCCCAAAAAAGAATGTCAGCGTACCAAAAAGTTAGTGAACTGGTCAGGATCAAGACATGTTGCCGACTCAGACTGAGTATCAGATAACCCAGCAGGGTGAGATAACGAGTCATGAGGATCCACCATCCCCAGCACAAGGGGTTCATTCCATCTATTGATATTTGCATTTATTCCAACTTGAGAAATGTGCTCCGCTAGTTGGGGATAAGATGTGTTAAAAGGGGCAACCTATAAGAGAAAGTCAGAGAAACAAAATCCATGTTTTATATTTCCCTTTTAATAAAACTATCATCTACAAATTTGAAACATACAACAACAATAGGCTTACTTGTAGTTTATGATTATCTCCAAGAATAAGGGGATTATGATTAATCCCCAAGAAAAAAATGCATTCACGGCAATTCGCAATGCATAAGCGCTTTGCAGTAGCTATAATTTGCACCCTCTCACAATGTTCCACTCTCAGAGCCTATAAATTTTACAACACATTATGTTAATCATCTTAAATATAAAATATGATATAACAGTGCACATATAAGCAAGGAATTGTTAAAATGAAAAACACAACAACAGCTCTCTACAAACACTAGTAGCCTTCTGAGCAATAAAAAAAGAGTTCTAAATCAAGATCATGACAGCAAACTATACTACTTAAGGTAGAAGTACACTTCATCGTGTTACCAAATACCAATTAATTTGCAATTTACATTATATATGTAGCATTAGAAGTTTATTCTAGTTTGTACTTCATGTGATAAACACTATATAATCAAACGGATTTGCAGGTTTATATAAGTCTTAACAACATTGCATTCACTTTAGTATAAGATATAATCAAGCCAGAGTATATAGGATGTATAAATTTAATCCTAACATCAGAGCAGAAAGCAATTTCATGTGCTCTATTAAAACAGTCACTTATGAGACTTGATTGCAAAACAACAACATTGTAGGATCATGCATACCTTGCCAACAGCGCCAACAACAATAGTTGCATCAGAACAACCATAAACAGTGGCATAACTCAGTGGCGCCAGTAAATAAATCACTGAATCGTGGCAATTCAAAACCTGATATGACACAACCCATCTGATCAGTGAAATAAAAATGACCACTGAGTACAGATCTCTAGACTATATTATGAAAGTTTTTGGGATTATTTTCAACAATCATTATATACTCCAATGCTGGCAAAAGAGACCATAGTCTGTATGGGATTATCCAATCAAATTCACCTTTACAGGATGTCTGATTGTATTGGATGCTTGTTTCACTAGTGAAGCTTTACAGATACCCTCCACTATTGTCTGGCTCCTCAAATGTGCAGTACCATGTTCACATAATCCACTAGGTGAACCATTGCTTTGCAGTTTGGCTTTGTTTGCGGAGGCATCTGCCATAGCGAAATCCCCATCATTAATGCCCCCCATTGCAGCTTCACGTGTAGGTGATTTCTCTGCAGCTGCAATGTGCTCCAAAGAAATTGCTATACTTTGCAAAAGCCAGTCAAGAACCTTGCTAGCAGGTACAGAAATATGAGGTGAATTAGCATCGTGGTTCGCAAAGAGAGGAAAAGCTTGGCTAAGCGGTATTCCTTCATGGCCATTGTCAGTGAATTGAATTATAAGTCCAAGGCGCTGAAAACTGTCCAAAGTTAAAACCTGCTAAGCATTATAGAAGTAAGAAACACAAATAAGATACCAGATCTGGCTCACCAAGTACAACAGAAAGCCATGAAGGAAAAAAAAAGGAGGATAGAAAAAGGAAGATGACAGAAGAAAGAATGAAAAGATAATGAAAACTAAGTGACATTCATATCGGTAAGAAATCATGCACTTACAATTCCAAACTTTAGAACAACCCAAAGATGCATATTTGCTGGTTTAGTAAAGCAAAAACAAAACAAGTAAATATAGTTTATAGTTCATCAGTTGGTATCTAGCTGAAGCAAGCAATGGCGGTAAAGATGCATATATGATAGCTTGAGACATCAGGATAAATAGATGTTTTACACAGCTATGAATGAATAAGGAATAAAACTATAATGCAACCAAACTAACCAGAGATTCATCCCCCTCGCCCTCTATTGAGTCAGCCAAAAGAGAAACCATGTTTTCCATATGCTTCTCGAGATAAGACAACTGATGGGCCTCTTCATCAGCAGGAGAGGGCATAGATCGGCGACTACCACAGCGTTTGAGCTGCAATCCAACAAAAACTTGATATAAGCCTGTGAAAAAAGAATACCGCAAAAGAGAAATTCCCATTTTTGCTGCTAGTAATGAAACTAAAATAGCACAGCCAGCACACCGTAATTCGGTTAATTGTAAGCAGTTTTCTTTTCTTTCTTTAAAAACCAGGGTTGTGCTCGGATTGATGAAAATTTAACTATGTATATAAAAAGCTACAAAAACTCTCTCTCCCAAGCCAAAGCCCGCTCTTTTTTATCTCTTCCTATATCTTGCACGCAAAGATTCAACTGAATGCATCAATATATTGACTTAGTAGTCAAATCTCCAATAATCTCATCTGCACGCTCTGCATTCCAAACAAAAACATTCCTAATACGTTTATGCATTACATTTGCAACGACATAAGAAGTTACCAACCTGAATAGGCGTGAGAGCCGAGAGGTATCCATCAAACACCGATGTCGAAGGCCAAACATCCGCAACGGCCGCAGAATCCTTATGCGTCTTGGATATCAATCTTTTATACGACTGGATGTATAAAAACAGCACGAGATCACGAACATCCACGGAATCTAGATCCTCCTGCTCATACGGAAGGACAGAAACGAGAGTATCCAGAACAATCCCAGCCTCCGCAAGCGAGATCTTGAGACCATCGGCGAGGCCAACTACGTCGATTCGTTGAAGAGACGTGGCATGATGCCGGAGAAGCTTCTCCTTAACGGAACTAAGGGTTACGATTCCATCTGTTAAGATTAGCTTCGGGATGGGAAGGAGACCGTACTCGAACGGCTCGCGCCTAGGCTGCAAGAGTATGTGAGATTGTCTTCCGTTGGATTCTTCGTCAGAGGATGCCGCCGGTGGTCCTTCCCCGGCGGATGTTTCGGTGCGGGAACTTTCGGTCATTTTCGAGGTCAATTGATTTCTTGGTGCCGGTCCTGTTGGATCTCGAAGAAAGGAGCCTCGAGGGCCAGGGAAGATGAGGAGGTAGCGGTCGGATGTTCCCGGATGTGCGGAGGAGTGATACGTGTTAGGTTGTCAAGGGTTGGTTTGGGAACGTGACGAGTGCGATCAATGGTCTGTGATTACCAGCAACGGCTGGCTAACATGGTCCTCAGGTTGGTGACTGACGGGTTCATAAACGGGTCGGACTTCTGTGGATTTGGTGAGGCCCGACCTAACCCGTAAGTAAAAATCTCTAAAAAAATAAGTATAATTTTAAGGGATTTTTACATACATAACACAACAAAGTTCTCTATTTACTTATCTCACATCTAAACTTTAAATTTTACTGTTATACCACGGTAATGAACTAGTCCTCATCAAATTTAACACTCCGTCTGCTCCCGTCAAAACCAACTCGCGAGAACAGCTTTTGCGCGCGGAAACATCTAGGAGTAGCTCTAGGGCGTTGCGTCTTCTCCGAATACAATCTCCATTTTGAGATACAGAGTAGCTCCCCTTCCCTCCTTCCCATCAGACCGATGTCGGTGCCAACATCCCGCAGGTGCAAAAGTCCCACCGGTGCAAACGTCACGCAAGTGCAAAAGTCCCGCCGGTGCAAACATCCGAAAACTTCTCCAAAATTATTTTCACCAGTTCATTTTCTCCGGCCGGTGCAAACGCCCCGCCAGATCATTTTGGATGTCGGTTTTATTCAAGTATTTTCTTTATTCATTTTGGCTACCGTTTCGGTGCGGGAACTTTCGGTCATTTTCGAGGTCAATTGATTTCTTGGTGCCGGTCCTGTTGGATCTCGAAGAAAGGAGCCTCGAGGGCCAGGGAAGATGAGGAGGTAGCGGTCGGATGTTCCCGGATGTGCGGAGGAGTGATACGTGTTAGGTTGTCAAGGGTTGGTTTGGGAACGTGACGAGTGCGATCAATGGTCTGTGATTACCAGCAACGGCTGGCTAACATGGTCCTCAGGTTGGTGACTGACGGGTTCATAAACGGGTCGGACTTCTGTGGATTTGGTGAGGCCCGACCTGACCCGTAAGTAAAAATCTCTAAACAAATAAGTATAATTTTAAATGATATTAAGATATAAAATTTTAATGAATTTATATCAATGAAGGATTTCCAAACATAGCATTAAAAATGTATTACTTAAATATTCAGCATATAAACTTTATAATCTATGTACATAATACTTAAATATTTAGATAATAAAAAAATATTATTTACCATCAAAATTTTAGACCACGTCCAAATCTAATCGTAATTTCTACATCTTTGCACACTTGTTTATATAAATCAAAGATATTCGAGTTGAGAGAGATCAAGAATTTTCACTATTTCTTAGATTCATGGATCAAATTCGATTCAGTGGGATCTTTCACTCACTTTTTTTTCCAGCAAGAACATTTTATGCAACTTTTTTATCACCGAATTTGGAGTATCCTACTTTCACATGATTCACATGGTGCAACAATCAATCGATATTTTATGATCAAAGGTGTAGTACAAATAGTGATCCTTATATCCCGTATTAACAATCGAAAGATGGTTGAAAGAAAAAATCTCTATTTGATGGAGCTTCTTCCTATACCTACAAATTTTATTAGACCTAGAAAAGAGACATCGGAAGAATCTTTTTGATCTTCTAATAAAAATAAGTTGATTGTTTCGTTCCAGTATCTTCCAAAAAGAAAAAAGGCTTGATGTTATTATTGATGTTGTACTTGCAATTTTTGAGAGAATTAGAGATGCTCTCATTTCATGGTAAGTAATAAATATGTTCGTTTTAGTCAATTATGTATTGTATGATGAATAACTAGCATAGGAAAATGGAAAAACAAATTTGGCTTAGGATATTTCAATCAAAAATCGTTATTAGATTTAAGTTATCTATTAAATATATTTTAAGATAAGTGTATTTATCATTAGATAAATGATTAATTAAAATTTTACTCATCTAAAAGCAAATCTAATGAGTATAAGATTCTTCTTGATAAAATTTCTATTAGGATATTGTTATGGAGAACAATTATTGCGTCCTCTGACCGGACGTAGAGCTACGTTCGGCCGCCAATAACATGTAGCCACGTGCTCTTACTCTAAACCGCGCGGCCCGACGACTTGACCCGGAGCGAAACCCGAGAATACTATGTTCGAGATTTTCTCGGTATTGCTCGGTATTTGCTCGGTATTTGCTAGGTATTGCTTTGCAAAAATGAGAAATACCGCTCTGTGAAGACCAATACCATGCAAATACCGAGTTGTACCGAGTTTTTTACAACTCGGTACAACTCAGGATTTGCTCAGGATTTGCTCGGTATTGCTAGGCATTTGCTTGGTATTGCTAGAAAAAAAATCGGTAAACCTCGGTACAACTCAGTATTTGCTCGGTATTGCTAGGTATTGCTCGGTATTTGCTCGGTATTGCTAGGTATTTGCTCGGTATTGCTAGAAAAAACTAGGTACAACTTGGTATTTGCTCGGTATTGCTAGGCATTTGAAATATATCCAAAAGGTGATGAGATTTTGTTCGGCTCATCAAGGATTAAAAAAAAAAACGCACGTGCGAGAACTCAAAAAACAGCGGGTCGGGTCGGCGACTTTTCTTCATGCTACGTGACGCTAAAATATTGGTGGCCGAACGTAGAAGCGCGTACGTTCACCGGACCGAATAAAAGTTCTTCTTTCAAGCCAGAGGAGTACACTATATGATTTTTCATCCCAATGGAAAAACTCGTTCATCTTTTGTTTATAAAAGCTACTAAGGCTTAGTTTGAAACAACTTTTTTATTCTTTCTTAAAACAATTTTTTAGTAAATTTTATACTAAAAACTAGTTTTAAGAAGCAATAAGAAAGCCGTCCCAAACGAAGCCTAAATCTCTTATAAATGTCCTCATTTTGGGTGCGGTGATAATAGGTTTTATCTTGAGATCCTATAAGATGTTACAATATTGTTCAAATGGGACGCTGTGCTGATCTACGTCAAACTTTATGGCTGAAATTCATCAAAATAATTTGCATGCTACAGGTTCTTGAAGATGATGATCTAATGCGATTGGTTAAGATGCAGTAGCAAAGATAATTCTAATTTCCTGAATTGTGACGCCGAATCATTATTTTTTGGGCAACTAAAAATAGTTAGGGGATTTTCATTGATTAAAAAGGATAAAATGGTGGGTAAGACATGTGTAAGGAGAGTTACCATCATGAAATTTTTCATATCGTTAAATCATGAAGGGTAAATAAATCATTAAAGTTTGTGCATGTTAATATTTATGGTCTTATGAATGAGAGATTATTACATGCGGAGTCTGTATACAATGAACTGTTCGGTTTTGTGACTGTGAACAATAAAAGTGCAGTAGTGAAGTAAAAGCGCAGAGATGAACAATAACTACACGTTTACTCTTCACGATCACAAAACCGAACGGTTCTCAGTGTCTGTACTCCGCACGTAATAATCTCTCCCTATAAAAACTCCGTCTTTGAATGATATTGAATATATTCATATTATTATTATTATTATTATTATTTATATAAGGATGAATTTCGTGTATTTTTTAAGATAAAAAATTTC